TAAATGATGTACCTGACCTTCCATACTTTGCTTCTCGCAGTAACAACGAACTACAAAATTTTATTGTAAGTGAGCAAAAAGTGAAAGACCAGTTACTAATTCTTAACTGTTCAAAACCTTCTGGTCCCGATAATATCAGTCCAGCTGTATTGAAAAAGATAACTCCATCAATCACAAGCCCTCTCACTAAACTTTTTAATCTTTCATTAGAACTCCAATTATTACCTGATATCTGGAGGACTTCACATATCATTGCAGCGTATAAAGGAAAGGGTGATCCGCAGTTCCCTGACAACAATAGACCAATTTCATTAACATGCTCATTGTGTAAAATACTAGAGAAAATCTTATTCAAAAATCTTTATAATTTTATAAAAGAAATTAACCTGTTATATAAGTATCAGTCTGGTTTTCAACCTAACGATTCTACAATAAACCAACTTTTAGAAATTTATGATGTTATAATTAGTAATCTTGGTAAAGGAAAGCAAATTCGATTTATATTTTGTGATGTATCAAAAGCGTTTGACAAAGTTTGGCATATAGGCTTATTGTCTAAATTAGAACAATATGGAGTTAATGAAATATTATGTAAATGGATTGAACACTATTTAAGTAATAGACAACAATGCGTAGTTTTAGAAGGTTTCAAATCAAACTATTTGTATACTGATTCTGGAGTCCCCCAGGGAAGTGTGCTTGGTCCTTTCCTATTTTTAATTTATTTAAATGATATCTCCGATAATATTACTAACAACATAAGGCTATTCGCCGATGATACTTCACTTTTTACCATTATTCATAATGATCCTCTAAGTAGTGCGAACTCTATGACTGAAGATCTGAATATTATCTCATCGTGGGCTAAACAATGGTGTGTAACTTTTAACCCCAATAAAACTAAAGATATTATTTTTACTAGGAAAAATACAATCCATCCAGACGTTATTTTTGAAAATACAAAAGTTGAAAACGTAACTACTCATTGTCATTTGGGAATAACATTTCAGTCTAATGCATTATGGTCAAAACACATTTCAAATATATACCAGAAAGCTTGTGGTCGACTAAATATTTTGCGTATACTGAAATACAAAATTAACAGAATTTCACTTAACAAAATATATCTTGCTTTTATTCGTCCGATTTTCGAATATGCCGATATTGTATGGGATAACTGTTCAAAGAAGGATTCTGATCTATTAGAAAGTGTTCAAACTGAAGCAGGTAGAATAATAACTGGCCTTAGAAGAAATTCATCTAAAAACAATTTATACAAAGAGCTTGGTTGGGAATCATTGTCTAATCGCAGAATAAAACACAAATTAATTTACTTATACAAAAAAAAAGAATAACCTAAGTCCCACTTATCTATCTGAAGCCATTAAAAATTTTTAACCGTCTGTATCAAATTATAACCTTCGAAATGAAAATCTGAAATTCAATCTACCATTTTGTAAAACGAGTTCATATTCTAATAGTTTCTTTCCCTGCACAATTAAACTTTGGAACAACTTACCTGAAAATATTAAAACTTCACAAACGTTAAATACATTCAAATTGGGCCTTTCACGCGTGTATCCTTTAATTAGACCACCCTTATATTATAATACTGGAAATAGAAAAGAGAATTTTATTCATTGCCAATTAAGAAATAAAGCTAGTAACTTAAATAATCACTTATTCTACCATTTTATTAGTGACACAAAAGTGTGCCTTAGGTGTAATTCTGCAGACATAGATAATTACCATTATTTTTTCATATGTCCAGCCTACTCTGCCCCAAGAAAAATTCTAAAAAATAATCTACACCACCTTAATCAAAATGTTACAATCGACCTGATCCTATATGGCAACCCCTCTCTTTCAGATAATGCCAATTCCAACATATTTGAAATAGTGCAAAAATACATAAAAGACAGCAAGAGATTTTAAAACTTTAACATTTAAAACTTAAAATTACACTTCAAAATGTATATATGTTTGTAACTCACTGCCTGTACATATGTCACCACTGTATTGTAAACATAAGATTTAACTATTTTATATGTTTGGAGAGACCTTATATAGGCCTTTGCCTATGTAATTCATCTCTTAGACCAATTAAAGTTTATAGAGGGGGAGAGAGAGAAATGGGATTTCGGGACTAACATACAGTTCAATTTTATTTCAATAATTCGCTGGCACGTACATGTAGGGGTCTTTAACAGCGGGAGGAAACCGGAGGACCCGGAGAAAACTCACGAGGTTGGACAGGCTACCCCACTCCCTGTCAGGCACAATCGAGGGATGACGATTGGTCGAGTTTAGAACAATCTGGCTCTGTTAGAAGAATATGTATTTAGTTATTTGCTACTGTGTGGTGGCATGGAGGGGGGGGGGGGCTTAAAATTATTTCTTTCTTTACACCGTTTATTTCTAAACTGTCTTTATAATTAAATGAAAGTAGAGCTACTTGCAGTTTCTCAATAATATGAAACCGGATATATTAATATTGACTATTCATGGCTATTCAACAATGACGAAATACACGGAAGTTTTTAAATAGAAACGCCAAGTACACACAAACCTTCTAATATCAGCTGCACGGTTAGACATAGTCCAGCATCATACCTGAGACACGGGTAAGTGAGTAACTACTCAATTGTTTTTAATTCGTGGAGTTAAACGTTCAGGTACACCATGGTCTTCTTAAAGATAAAATAGGTCTAGTTAATGTTTTTATTCCCTGCTCAAGTCTGAACTAGAAAGAGTCGTACACTCAAGTAAGGAAGTATTTCTACACTGCAGGTGTATTCGTGTAGGATATTATTATCAATGTACACTCAAATCGCGAGATAATAATATAGACATATCACTATTAATGCTTTGCATCAATAAAATGGAATCACAATGTCATCGTAAAATTCATAATAAAAATTGACGTCAAACAGGATGTTGGATTTCTCTGTTTAAAAAGTTCAATGTGTATGTATATACTCCAAAATTACGATAGAGACCATGTATTTCTCAAAAAATTTCAAGCCGAGGGGGGGGATACATTTTCTCAGGAACCTGGCAAACCCCCTCCTGCAAAAATTCCTGGATTCGCCCCTGTAACCGTCGCATTATACATGGTTTGACTAACACAGATCAAGGATTGGTCTCTCTCTCTCTCTCTCTCTCTCTCTCTGGGATCTACCCGACTGGTAAAGAACAGTCAGAAATTGTCGTACCTGAGTTAAATTCTAGACAACTGGCTGAGGTGTCTTAAATTCGATTTGTGATTTTGTACCAATTTGTTAAAGATTGGCGTGCAGGTATAATAACCCTATTGTAGTTTTTTTTAACAACTCGGCAAAAAAAACCCCAAAAAAACTGGCATAGAAGGAATATAGGTTATTGGTTGATTTAAAAAGGTTCATGGCATTTTTTAGAATATCGGTCAAAAGTTCACCTACTACCCCGAAAAACATCTGTTAAATACATAATGTAATATTAATATTATTAACCTGGTTTTTAAAGAACTAACCACTTTTATTTTTCTTAAATATATTTCAAATGCTAAAAAAACCATTTAAGTACGTTAGGGTTAGACTAACCTAAATTAATATAAAACAATTAATATACTAATTAACATATTAATTAATGCGATAATGACTACAATTATCATTTTAAAACATTTCTCATATCTTAACGATGTACACGAGTTTGATTAACCTCAATTAATATAAACAATTAATATACTAATTAATATATTACTTAATACTACAAATGACTACAATTATTTGATTGGTGACATCTGAGAATATTCAAGTTCCAAAATATTAATCTAGTCCCTATTAGTCAGTATGGACGTTAAAACTCGTTTCATTTCTCTTATTTAAAACCAAATTTTGGTCGTGAAATTCAAAAGATCAAATTGAGAACTACCGCCAGACCAGTATATAATTTCACCAAATTTAAATAAATAAAAATAAATTTAAAAAAAAAAAATGAATTAATGAAAAAAAAAAGAATTAATGAAAAAAAGAATAAATGAAAAAAAAAAGAATTAATGAAAAAAAAAATTAATGAAAAGAAATTAATTAATAAAACAAAATAATGAAAAAAATAACTGAATTATGAATAATTCATGAAAAGAAATTCATGAAAAAGAATTCATGAAAAAGAATTCATGAAAAAAAAAAGTAATTAGATTATGAATAATTAGATTATAAATAATCAACTAAATGAGGAAATAACAAGACTAAATGAACAAATACAATTAACAAATACAATTAACAAATACAATTAACAAATACAATTAACAAATACAATTAACAAATACAATTAACTATACAATTGACGGGAATGTCTTTTAGGACATGTTTTGGTCTTTGGGTTGAAGCGACGACGAAAAAGACGTTGGGGCGTGGCGAGGCGGGGCCCATGCGCGGTACAAATAAAACATTTTGTTTCACACCACAAATAATACATTGACGAAAACGATGACCAGAGCGTTCGCGGCGCGCGGGCGGGCTGGGCTGGGCGGACGGTGCGCGGGTTCGAGGTGAACTTCGCACGCTCATTACGGTGACACCCCCCCCCCCCCCCATATCCACAATTCAAATTTAAACTCACAACTTCATATTACCTAGTTGCCACGGGTTTCCATCATCACTACAATTAACCGTTAAGCCCACTCTTTTAAAAAAAAGGCGGACAACATTACAAACACAAACACACCCAACAATTCAAATTTAAACGGACATGGTGTTCATATTACGTCGTTGTCACGTGATTCTATCGTAACTAGGGTCAACAACCACGCCCATAATAAAAGGGGGATAACTCTTCTGACGTTGCTAAGGTAAACAAAACAGGGGAAGATAACCCTACCGGAAATACCCCCTCCAAGTGCCCTATTTTACTACTTACCATGCCATCTAATGCTGAAAATAAGTGTTCTGTGAGGAATATTTTAGGAGACATGCAGAACTATGAATATCTCTAAGGAATATTAAATACCGATAAACCTAAACACACACAAATACGCACACAATCACACGCACACACACATACACTCGCACTGCCGCAAAACAAACCTGCGAATCCTCCCGCGCTAAGCATTATTAACCGAATGCACCCGATTTGTGGAATACCTTATACCCCTACATGATATACGAGTGACCCAACTTACGCAAGCGCAGTGATAATGTTTATGTTTTGAGAAATTGATTAGTGTCGAAAAATGTGAAATTTATGTAGCAGGATCGATGGACAACGGACTATCCCCTTTCCAGGTCGCGGGTTGAACGAAAAGAGACAAAGACAGGAACACAGCTATACAGTTTATTTACAATACACAGGAACAAAACAGCCAATTATTTACAGAAAGAAGAACAAGTAGAAGACAAGAAGAAGAGCACTGAAATGACAAAATAACTAAATTAGCAAATAAGAATAAATATATATAAAAAAGGATGTAGCTTAGAAATAGCTTCTAATAACTAATCATATAATATATAGAGATACATTGCCTATTACAGGTAATAATAATGGAGCATAGAAACATACCCTGATAAAGGTGCTCTTAAGAAATGAAGAATTAGAACTAATAATGTATAAGGAAACCATATACAGGTACAAAAGAGAGAAACACTAAAAGATAAAACAAACACCAAATTAGACATACATTTTAAAATATAAGTGTTTACTTCCTTAGATTGATTATACATGTATTATTTTATTTATAACTTATATGAGAATAAAACAGTATTTAAATTAGAAAGGGATTGTCTTGTATTATATTGTCAAGTCAAGTTAAACAAATATAAACCTACCCGAATTAGTAAATGCAGTGCTGTAGAAAGAAATTGTTGCCTTCAAGATGGAGATCTAAGAAAAAGTGACTAAAGGTGAAACATGATGTTAGGACAGTATCTAAGTAACAGAATACTACTCACCATGTTAAAATAACATGTTTAAACTATAAACTAAACTAATTATACCAACTGGAAAAACAAAACTTACTGGATATACAGGACAATAGAACTGGATAAAATACTTAAAGAGAATATCACACCAAATACTTAAAGAGAATATACCACCCTACTACATTTACAAGAGAATAAAAGATTTTATCGAACTTATAGGCGTTAAGGCTCGACGAAGAAAGTAACGGGGCGACAATTCCAGTTAGGTCGTTAAGTTTTAACCATTTTAATTAAAAATTGAAGAAATAGTAAGCAATTTTCGAGTCGTAGTGTCGCCTGGAACAGACAGTAATTAATTTCATATCATTGTTTTTCGTTGAACTAAATTACGGGGGTTGGCTTAAAAGTTCTAAGCCTAAAAAGGACAGATCATTGGGGTTGAAACAAATATTTGCCACCAATAAGTACAATCATTGAATGAATCATAAACATAAGAACTGCAACTGTAGTCTTGTTATTGTCTTCCTACCAATCTGATTGACATACAGATCGATATTTCGTTTCTTTTTTTATACTTTCGATGGCCTCTACTACATGAAGATCTGACAAGTTATAGTGGGAGGTCGTGTCAGGGGTCATACAAGCAGCTTTTGATCCTGTGATGTCAGGCATTGATTAATCAATCGGCGTTGACGTTTCTAGTGGTTTACCCACAGTTCCGTGCAGAGCAATGGCTAATTCCGCACATCAACTAGAACGTCTTTTATATAACAACTCTTCCAGATCCAAGTGTTGGGAAGACAAGTAAAATGAAATTTTGAACTATAAAAAACGAAACGAAATAGGTTCTTTTCCCGGATTATGGTCCCTGACAATTTGAAAAAACGTTCAAATATATCATCGTTAAATTATAGTTGCAGTGGAGTGTGAATTCGTGCAAACCGGAGGGACACTGCCAGCTAAAATGACCGCTCAATGTACGCAAATAGTTTATAAGTAAATAATACCAAGGTTGTTGACTCTCTAGTGGTCCTAATTTGTATTCGATTTTGAGGAAACTTAAAATATATGTCTATATCACAAAGATCTCGTTTCTTTACAATATTCGGGCATATCGAACTATAACTTCCTGGATTATTTTCTCTGATTGTACGAAAAATCGATTTTTTTAGCATTGGAACCCTCTAGAGGTCTCAATTTTTATCCGATTTTAATGAAGCTTAAAATAGATGTTTATATCCAAAAGGCCTGGGTTCCTGTCAATACTTGCGCATATCGAACCCTAACTTTCTTGATTATAGTGCCTGATTGTACGAAAAATTGCCTTTTTTTAGATTGTTCTCTGTCCACCTCTTGCAAAATATGAGGGCATCTTGCATGACAACCGCTTGTTGTTATCTATGTTTTGTAATTTTATTATATACTATTCAAAAAAAGTAGGGGATATTTGATTTTGGGGGCATAATACTAAAATATGCAAATGACTACGAAAAAAGTCACTATAGAACCTAACAGAAGAAACATTTCCAGTTACATGTGACGCCCAAACGCACCAAAAGCTACCGCATGGAATGCAGGTGATGCTTGGGATCATCATGGGGGTCCAACCCAAGATTTGCACGACTCTGACTTTGAATGTTACAGTCATTGTGGCATTGAATTCCAGGGTGGAAACATCAGTTTAATTGCTTTAGTGACCAGAAAACAAATTTTGATGTGCGTCGGCTTACCCAAAATGAAAGGTTACGTGCCCTTGGCATGCTATAGATCGGCACAACACAGGCGGTTGTGGCGCGGACGATGAATGTTTCTCAGTCTGTCATAAGCAGGCTATGGTCCAGATACCGTGATACACAATCTGTACAGGACAGACCACGCTCAGGTCGACCAAGGGCGACAACTCAAGCCCAGGATCGATTTATCCGTACCTTGGCCTTGAGAAATCGTGTCATCACAGCAAATCAGATCAGCGCTCGTCTTCAAACAGACACTGGTGTGAGAGTGAGTGGCCAGACGATTCGGAATCGACTGCATAGGGGTCACCTTCGCGCCCGACGTCCTCGCGTGATCCCTTGTTTGAGAGATCATCACATTCAGGCAAGACGTCGTTGGTGTAGGGATCGTCAACACTGGGATAATCGACGCTGGAGCAATGTGATGTTTTCAGATGAGTCAAGGTTCACTGTTGATTTTTTGGACAGACGTAGGAGGAGGTGGCGTCGTCGAAACGAGCGCTTCCAAGACGTGAACGTCATCAGACATGATCGATTTGGGGGTGGTTCTGTTATGGTGTGGGGAGGCATCACTGTTGCTGGAAGAACGGCTTTACATGTTGTTGCAGGGCGTGTTACAGGCCAGTACTACCGGGACAACATCTTGGCAGTCCATGTTGTGCCGTTCGCACGACGTCATGGCCGCCGTTTCATCTTCCAGGATGACAACGCAAGATGTCACAGGGCCAGGATCGTTACAGGTTACCTCCAACAACAGAACATCACCACATTACCTTGGCCAGCACTGAGTCCCGACCTCTCCCCCATCCAGCATGTCTGGGACATGCTTGGACAGAGGTTACGTCAACGTCAACAACGTCCTGCCAATGTCCAAGAACTTGCTGCTGCGTTGCAACAGGAATGGGACAATCTGGACCAAAATGACCTTAGACGTCTCATTAGGAGTATGCCACGTCGGATCAATGCTTGTTTGGCAAACAGAGGAGGATTTACCCGTTACTGACTTGGTTGTGATGCTGTGGTAACTTTGCTGTTTGACCCCGGGTATCATTTTACCCTTATAATGGTCAGTCTGTGCCTTACTTAGTCTAACGATCATTTGGAATAAATCGAAGAATGTGAACTTCATTTCATTTTGTCATTTGTTTCTTCGTCAGTTTCATTAGGTGACTTTAATAACACTTAAAAATCAAATATCCCCTACTTTTTTTGAATAGTATATTTTAATTTTAATTACTAATAAAACTCACTCTTTATTATTATTTCATTTTATAATACGGCAAACTAAATAGTATGCTGATTAAATGTTTTAGACAATACAAATATATTTTGTTTTATATAGTAATGTATAAATTAGATACTCACGAATAAAACTGTTGGGTATAATTGATACAATATATGCTAATTATCATTAATAATTATACTGTTGTCGCACAAAGTAAACATTCGATAAAATAACTGTTCGTGTTCATAACGAATGTGAGGAACGAATAACTTACGAGTTACCGTTCAGATCTCTACATCATATTTATATACCGAGAACGCACCTTTATCGTGTATCAGCGATAAGGTAATCCGAAATTGAAACTAATCTTTGCAAGGAAATCGAAACTATAATTATCGTGATTTTCTCGTTATTGAAGAGTATGTCGACCTAATTAAATTCAGTATATTGGCCTAAATATTGAGCAAAAGGGAGGGGTTAAGAGAGAGAGAGAGAGATAGAGAGAGAGAGAGAGAGATGGGTGGGGGTAACGTCCACTCAACATAAACTAGGTCATTTCCGGACTAGCATATGGTTCATTATCTTTAAATAATTCACTTGCACAGAGGTAATGTGAATCACTGACAGATTTGACATTATAGTATCCCCCACCCCTTAAAACACTTGATTATGGTACAGTTTTTTCGTTAGTTATTTTTGAATTACAAATTAACTGAAAAGTGTCATTAAATAAATGTGAATGCTATTGGACTCATTCGTATGGTTTCTACTTTTATAATTTCCGCGTGTTTACCGATTTCAATGTATTTGTCTGTTTGAAGTTGTTATGTTTCTGCACGTATCCTATTAAAATTATATGTTGCCCTTAGCAACACACCGACATGCATAAATACACACCACTAATCAAACAACATGCCTCAATACATATTTTAACAAATAACCTTAACATGCCTAAAGTGTAAAAGTTGAGAAAACTATGCCCTGTGTTGTTTGTAGCGTGCATATGTTAAAACATTGTAAACAATATGAAATGTCCGAGATTTAATCAAAACTCGTGTGGACATGAATCCTTCTTTGTTTATGTAATGGTAATGGCTAATAGCCATTCTAAAGTACATTAAAAATAATTTAAACCCCATTACCACTTTGTATCTGTTAATTTCGTCTAACTTTTACTGATATAAATTGGGGTGTTTCCAGGACTCCTGAGAGAGGGTTGGGATGGCCTAGTGGTCTAGAGTGCCGCGCTTCGACCTCTAGCTGGCAAGTTACCTCTGGCTTGCGCTTGTGGTTTCGATCCCTGGTGTGAGTGTACGTGACTGGGAGATAGGGGCGTCTTCTCAACCTCGTGGGTACTCCGGGTACTCTGGTTTCCTCCCACAAGTAAGACTCCTGTGCGTGCGGTAAGAAAATGAAAATTAGACAACTTGTCTGCGACATCACCTTCGGTGGAAGAGGACGCTAAGCACTAAGAAACACAACAGGAGTTTTGAGAAAGGGCATGTTGTCAGCTGAGAACTTTTGTCACCAGTCTGTCATAATAATCCATGGTATGATACTATGTGCCATGGTGGAATTCATTACGACGAATGTTCTAATTCCTGCTGTAGAATTTCCATATCCTTTGTTTCATATTTGTCTTTGAAGAATTTGAACATCGGCCAACATGTAACATACTGCCTGTATGTTGTCCGGTAGATCATTGATGTATATAAATAATAATGTTGGTCCAAGAACACTTCCTTGCGGAATGCCATTCTAAAATATCACGTTTGCAATGTTGCTTGAGATACCAAAACACGACAGCTTTACCAGTAGGCGATACTGTGGAACCTTTGTCAAAACATCTTCATAAAATTTCCATGTTCCATGACTTTATCAATATTGCTATAAACTGTAACATTGTGGATGCATAAAAAATGGCTTTGAATATAATGTTATTTACGGTGGTATTGCAGGGATTGGTAAATTCCTGATAAATTATATCATGAAATCAATCACAGTGTTATCACGAGAACTCAATACTAATCACGTGACTACCCAGTTTCCGTTCTGCCCCTTTAACATAAAATACATACATGTGTCGTATACATAACTGGACGTCAAGTAGTGTTCTAATTAACCAAACATTATAAAGTTATAATATATGTAATTACTGTAGAAGAATCAGTCATTTATAAAGATATAGATTAGAACAGTGATTCTCAACCAGTGTGCCGTGGCACACCTGTGTGCCATGAGATCTTCCTGGTGTGTCGCGAAAATTTGAACGGAACACTAAGAAAATGTGAAAAAAAACACGTAATCCCAATTGAGTATTCACTGGTGTCTACTGATAAGCTGGGTTTGTCTTTATTTAGTTTTAGTCATTCATGACTAGTCTCTGTCTACGGTTGTATTCCGTCTGACTTACCATTACCATGTTTTTATTTTGCAAAATTCAAATATTTTTCATATATATTTAGCCAGGTGTGCCACTGTTTTTTTCATGTGTTCGAAGGTGTGCCGTTGGCAAAAAAAGGTTAAGAACCATTGGATTAGAACAACCACAGCTTGGTGCAACTTCTTTCTTTGTGTACAAATAAGTCAATATAAAATACTAATCACAAGGAAGTATTTCTACTAGATTACATGTAATTGAATAGCTATACACTACATTAAGGCACATAACTATACTATACGCAACTCGATGTGCAATATAAAGTCCTAAGGAAGTATTTGTACTAAATAACTTGTAATTGAATAGCTACACACTGCATGAAACTACATGACTATACTAGGACGAGCTCAGCTTGAAGGTAGATGTCATTTTGGTTTACAATACACGTATGTACACATTTGATCTTATTATTCAAATATTCCTTCCAATAAAGTGAGAATTTTGTTTTTAATCAGTTTCACATATTTTCAACGAGTCGTCGTATTTTTCTATTCTTTGATATTATTTATTAGCATACGAGTAGTTAATTTACCTGACGGGACGTAGATCAATAATCCAGTAAATCTAGCATACAGCTATGACTGTTTCAAGTTGATAAATCTATTACAACATACTATCGTATGATTGTTTCAAGTTGATAAAACAATGTCTATTTTACCATTTTTGACTAGTGCATAAATCCGTCTTGTAAACTCTGAATTTATATCATTTTAAATCAAATAATATTTATGTTTCTTCCCTTACAGACGAGGCAATACAGTGGCTAAAATGATGAATCCAGGTAAATCAAACAATAAGTTTAATCTCTCTGTGTGTGTGTGTGTGTGTGTGTGGGTGGGTGAGAGAGAGAGAGAGAGAGAGAGAGAGATGTTTAATCCGAAATTGAAACTAAAATTAACAAGGAAATCGAAACCATAAGTATTGTGATTTCCTCGTAATTGATGAATATGTAGAAATTGGCCTACATCAACGTGTCTTAAATCATATGAATATAAATGAGAAAGAGGGAGAGAGAGGGCAAGAGAGTGGGTGGGGGCAGAGTCCTTTCGAAACAAGCTAGGTTCAATTTTATGTCAATAATTCACTAACGTGTAGGGTTGAACAAACGACACTACTTCTTGTCAGGCACACGCGGAAATCGAAACCACGCTTCTTGACTCAGTGACATATCTTATGGTCCAACGCTTTACGATAACCAACAAGTCTACAATCTAATATGTTACACCACGTAACACAACACTGTCAGCGGTGTGAACTATATTATTACAAATATTATTAGCACACATACACATGTACAATCAACTAAATTTATATATTAATGTGCTTACGATCCATAAGGCTATACATTCACTCACTGAATAATAACATGGTACAGATAATCAGTGGCAGGCTGGCCAGGTTGTCATCTTAACCAATGGCCTGTGGGCCCCCGAGGAATTGGACCCACTTAGACATTAGACAATATATTTAAAATATACATTATCAAAAAATATATAAATATTAGAAAAAAAATTATTAGCATGAAAATCTAATTACATCTTTTTGTTTCCACTAACATATTTTTTGAAAATTTAATTTATTCATTTTAAGAATTGGACCCAGTCCGCCACTGCAGCTAATTGTATATTACCCCTTTGATGATGTCAAACTAGAAGATGACTACAGTTATGCGGTAACAAAACGTGGAACCAGTTGAATAAGCGCTAAATTACACCGATTGTTTCAATGACATTTTGTATTGAACTGGAATATACAGGGGTCACATTTCTACAATTTAATTAAAATATAGATCTATATTTCGTTTCGTTTTTTATACTTTCGATGGCCTACATCGAGTGAGGTTTCCACTAGGATTCTCTAGTCATTGTCAAGCAATGATAACATATGAAATATATTCTTCAAAAAACGTAGCGGATATTCAGAAACAATACAAAACTGCGGAAATGGACTGCTGTTTTATTAGAGGTAACCAGTCTATGTTAATAATAGGCCAATTGCCTACACATGAACACATGTTGGGGCGATAAGGTCTTCATATGTGAACATACTCTCAAAGCATGTCAAGTGTCCATGACTATTTATCATATCACAACCTGCATAGGTATTTACAATTCAATATCCCCTATTTTTGAAGGGTATATAACAAGAAAATATATACATGTACACAACAATACTTGGTTAATGTTGACCAACCAAAGACACCATTCTAATTACCTTGAAGGTAAGGTAATTATGAAAGAGATCAAGGTTGATAAGGGTAATGCTAATAACAATGACATGGACTTTGTTATAATTTATTATTGTTGTTTTTTACTACGAGAACCCAGGCTGTACTACATTCCTTCTCTTTTTATCTTAGATCTGATACCACCTTATCAAAGAGTCTTAACTGAAAATAGTGAACTCCTTCGAGCCATGCTTTCAGATCAAATCGAGACTGTGGTACGAAGATTAAACCAAAAATTTTATCTGAAAGATTACGAGACCAACGACATATTGAAGAAAGCAAATAAATCACCTCCAGACGGGGTAACTGAATTAATCAAAATACTTAAATCATGTAACTCTGAAAATTTTAGTAATTTTTTGGGATGTTTGAAAGAGCTCGGTTATGTAGGTTTGGCCAACAAGTTAGAAGGTATGTATCAAAATTTGCCGAATTTTTTTGTGTCAATTTTAGAGGTAATAATGTTAGACTGAAAAGGGTGAAATGACATTGCGTCTCTAACAACGATGCATCACTTGTCTTGTCCAGTTGACAGAATTATTCCAGCCATAACTTATAAGAATTTATGATTTTATGCAGTTCATAACTTTACTATTATTTGGATGTTATACTGAATGGTGGTGTGCCGCGGTCCAGAATTCGATCCCGGTGTTGTCCTGGAGAGTTCATATAGATTTCTTTTCCGGCTTGGATCCCCCTTGTCAAGACGGAGGGTCTGGCAATGGACAATGTATAGTTGTTCGAAACATATATACTAAAATATCACTCGAAAACTGGAATTCGAAATAATAGCACGCCGTACCAGTGTTGTCCAGGTAAAATGTCCTACTTGTCTACTCCAACCCGGGTTATGGAGACGGACATACGGTATGCAATGGGCTATGAGGGATAATATGCCCCGGACAGCTATTGAATTCCATCTATCAAGCGTTCTATTAAGTCCACGTCAAGGTGTAAATTGGAAACTCCACTGACAAGGAGAAAGCACGTCAGATAATCCGGAGGAACTTTTCCGGCCCACACAGCGGCTAATAAATATTAGAAATTAAATTATAATTAAATGCTAGACAGTATTTATTACATAATTGATATTTCATGTTGAAAACTTATTTATTCTTATACTTGGGTTCTTAAATTTAACAAAATAATTAGAAATATTCCACTATTCAGGAAGTTCATTTCAGTTTTCAGATAATAATATTATAGTTTATTTTTTTTAAAAAAAAGGTTTCTACCGATCTTTTTTTTTAATTATTTATGCAGTATCATTAAAACCACAAAGCCAGAGAGAACCAACAACAAGGTATCAAACTAAAGCTGCAGTAAACGATCCGTAAGTATCTGACAAAATTTCCCGTGCGCGCTGTATCATAAGGTTTGTAACACTAACAATTCGCTTGGTTTAGTTATTTGTATTGATCACATCCTATTGTACACATATGTCTATGATGTGACGATTGAAAGTACCAGAAATCGTCCTATGTACTGTTAAGTATCATCAATTCATTGAGCTATTGTCTCGAGATTCGTGCTGGTTGGCATAAACCGAAAATTAACAATTACCCTCTTCTAAACCCACTTCTGTAAATACCAATATTCAAGGGAATCAGTTTTGTTTTACAATTCATTTATTTTGAAATTTCAAAAGGACCAAACAAGCTAAAAGAAAAAGAAAAGAGACTAAGACTGAACGAGGTCCTAAGACTGAACGAGGTCCTATGACTGACAGGGATCTGCGTCGAATGAGACACGCAAAGGTGGAGCTTATAAGTGGAATTAATGACCCAAAATCACTTGTGGATTGTTTGGACGGTAAAGGCCTACTTTTACCAGAAGATAAACAGAAGATAGAGTTAGAGAAGTTACCGATAGACAAAACAAGGAAGTTACTGGATATTTTAATGTGTGATTGCAAAGGGGCTTTCCCGGATTTTGTACAGTGCTTGAAAGATGCCCAATATTATTCTTTGGCTGAACGTCTAGAAGGTAATCCCTTTGTCAGTATTGTCATTATTATCTTCACTATAATTCCATTGTAATCTGAACACAAATTGTTCGATTAAGTTTTTATAATGTTGAGTACTAAATCCCATTATTTGAATGAATGTTTAGTCTGACATTTGTTAACAATACTTACCTTGATTCATGGACAGTCAATGAAATATATTTTAATAGACATTTCGCTCACAGTAAGACAATGGTCGAAGGTGGGGTGGGCCTAGTGGTATCTCGACTAGATATAAACAGCTCTCTCTCTCTCTCTCTCTCTCTCTCTCTCGTTGATTGAGTCTTCTCATATGTTGGATTTGAAACGTGTTGAATTGGAAGTTGTTTAAATAATTTCAGAGGAGGATTCCGAAGAAGAGGAAAGTGAACAAACGACAGAACGGTTTAAAACAGGCAAGGATTTAATTTATATTTTAAAACTTTCAATATTTAAATGTATCATGACAAACAGGGTAAAATAGCAATTTTTTTTTTTTTTGATCGCACACATTTTGGTATTCGAGCATTTTTGGGTATCTACATACTCTTCGAGCATAAATTTCATCACATACATTTTTTTTGATACAGTTCTTAGCCTAGTTTCACATTGTATCATGACAAATTGGATACAATGGCAAAATATAATCCGCTTTCTATATATTAAATCAATGCACTAAGCAGACTCACACGACTTCTGTTCCAGGCCGAAAAAATTTATTCACTTTTTACACGCTCATATCACATTGATATATGCTTTTAAATCCGCTTGCGTTGAATTTAAGTTTCCAAAATAAAAAATAGACCTCTACGACCTTTAACCATCTAACCTGGTAATAATGAAATGAAACGAAATGAAATAAAATGGGGTTTAACGTCCTACTGTTCTGCTCCTATACTGGTCTAATGAAGACGGGCACACGCCATACAGTGTGCTATGAGGGAAATTTTGCTCGGGCAGCGGCACTATCGCCTACTCTTATATCGAATTCCAACTGCCAAGGGATCTTTTACGTGCATTCCAATGTATACACGGGACCTCGGTTTTCCGTCTCATTCAGAAAATCAGGATGAACTTCCTTGGCCAATGCAGGGATCGAACACCCGACATCCAAGCTAGCGAGCCAGCGTCTTAACCACCTAGCCTCCGTGGCTCCCTGGTAATAATGTTTCTGATAGTAATTTTACCCTGATCAATTTCGGAAAATTATGAATCCCTCGTCCGCTAAATAGTTATATAAGTTTTTCCGCTTGTGCCATTCCTCTATTATTATGATAATTGGCTTGACGTTTTCATCTTTGTTTTTTAGAAATGAATAGAATAGTTACCTTCGTGATGGAAATGATGCCGGATGGAATGAAAACAGTGTCAAAATCTCAGATGTACTCAAAGCTTACTGTGCTGGGTGTTACAACTAAGGATGATTTACTTAGTCTCGAAGCCGGGGATTTTGTCGGTATTTTGAAGATTGTTCCAGCACGGAAGTTGTTAGCAAATATTAAAAGAAAATTAGAAAGTGAGTTTTTTATGATCAAATATTTTTGGGGGGTCATTTGTAGCTGAATACTGTCTTGTTTTTCCCAAAAGTTTAATAAGCGTCATATTTATGGAATAGGAACAGGATGGATCTCAACTTCAAATAACTTCTTCAGAGAAAATTCCCAACGAAGTTGAAAGATTTCTTGTTAGATTTTCTTGAGTTACTATCTTTTATTGTTGATAAACAATTTTTTATTTAGTATTAAGGTTGTCTGAATGGGATTGGGGAACAGGCTTAGCCTATGTAAAACCACCCTCAAGTTACCAACTTGATTTGGAAAAAGTCTACCATGGTCATTGACAGGCCTGTTCAGACTAGATTTGCAATGATTTCCAGTAAAACCCCAAATGCAATCATCAAGTGAACCTTGTCTGTGTGTCCATAATTATCTGCGATTGAGGAATGATGTTCGACATTGCTTGATTTCTACATTGACGATATTTAGTCGAAAGCATTGTTTGATTGTTTGACCTGTAGACCGAAGATATTATTCCAAAACACAAAGTTTGATTAGTTCAAGAATATTTTTAAAATAATACGTATGTGGATGTTTCCTTGAAATAATGAAGTTAAATAAAATGGGGTTTAACGACCTATTGTTCTGGATCGACTGGGCACACGAAGACCGTATCCTTGCAATATACACATTGTGTATTACACAAGAACCCCATTGAAACTCACAATTATCGTATCACCTATATATCATCATATACCTAGCAACTAAAAATTCGTTCATTGTGTACATCATTAAATGTTGAATATTGTTAAAATTCAGGATAAAGCCCCTACGCAACTGAAATGTGTACTTCCTCTGAACTGTTCATATCGGACACACTTATAGGAAGTGTTCACTTTGTAACCACTTTGAAAGACACTTCCAACCCGTACGCAACTGAAGTGTGTACTTCCTCTGAAGTGTTCCTTTCTGACACACTACTAGGAACATTTCAAACGAAGTGTTCACTTTAGAACTACTTCCAAAGACACTTCCATTGAAGTGTTTAAAAAAACTCCCCCGTGGTGTTGATTTCTAACACACTTCGAGGCTGGAATAGAATACACTATCTTTGGCGTATAAATTGTCTGACAATCCCCAGTCATTTTTCTATAATAATATAGTTCTAAACTTGCCGAATACACCTCTTATGCTAATACCTCTAGACGAACCAACCTATGTCCTGTAAAGATACATTGATATTAACTTTCAGTGGGTAATTTGTCCTTAAAATAAACTATGATATGAAGCATGACTTTCTTTCTTTTCAGAACAAAATTGAGAACAATTACAAGGAGATATGGCGAGAACGACTTGACTTGAGATGTAAATGAGGTTAAGACACGTGATTCTTCTTAACGCCCACTTCCACTTCGAGTAATAGAATAAAATCCTGGTTTTTAAAGCTATAGGCCCATCCTGATCTTCATTACCTCATAGTTATATTGCTCAATCAATAACACACTATTTATGGAATAACAATTACTGATTTATTAACAAACAAATAAAGACATTGGTTGAGCATTTAGTAATTGAACAGTAACACACTAACACTATTTATGGAATAACAATTACTGGTTTATTAACACAAATTAAATACTTCACAACATAAGCTTATATAATAAATAAATACAGATTTAATGTACATGAATTACATGACCATACAAATTATTATACACAAATAAATAGTTAAATCTCTTCAATTTATTATTGCACGAACCAACTTGATGTATACTCATGTCCAAAAGAAAGTATACACACTAAAAATAGGACTAAGTTTTGTTTGAATCAACAAAATGTGATAAAACTACATTGAACATGTCTTGTGCGTCCAAACTCAATATTTCTAAGCAAATAAATGGAAAAACAAATGGACATTGTACCCAAATACCCGCATACAACGGAAAAACGACTTTGTTTAAGAAGGACGAAATGCACAGTGTATACTTTCTTTTGGACATGAGTATATATATTAGTAAGATGTTTAGCCCCCGTATCTCTAGATTCGGAATTATTTAAATTAAAATATAAATCCAGAGTTGTTTGATGGGCTTGTTTTTACACTCAATAAACTATGTTTATACCCTATTATAATAACGCTTGTTTTTAGTTTTTTATTCCATTGTAGTGTATGTAGCATTGGTAAACGATAAATTAGTTTCATCAGACGTCGCTGCTATGTTCGATGAACCGAATGGAATATACTCAGTATCATTGGATAGAAGATCCACACTTCCTGAAGTTCTCATTTTATATAGAACAATGGCTATAACTGATACAATTATTATTATAGTTCCTAATATACTTCCAACTGTTATTGTAACTTCTTGCTGTGTTAAACCATCCTGTTTGTCATTTTTCCCTTCTATAAGTGGAGTTGTTTCCCTTTGATCAGTTGATGTTACGACTGTGGGTGATGTTGTGGGGTTCGTGGTGGGTGTTGACGTGGATAATGGAATTGTAATGGGCGTGGTTGTAGTCGCAGGTGTGGATATTATAGTAGTACTTGGTGTAGCCGTGAGTGTAGTCGTGGGTGTAGTCATGGGTTTTGGTGTTGTCGTTGATGTGGGTGTCGATGTTGGTGTAGTAGTTGGCGCGGTTGTAGGTGTGGTAGTGGGTGTGGTAGTAGGTGTGGTTGTAGGTGTGGTAGAGGGTGTGGTCGTAGGTGTGCTAGTAGGTGTGGTCACAGGCGTAGTAGTAGGTGTGGTAGTTGGTGTGGTCGTAGGTGTAGTAGTTGGCGTGGTCGTAGTTGTGGTAGTGGGTGTGGTAGTAGGTGTGTTTGTGGGTTTGGTAGTAGGTGTGGTCGTAGGTGTGGTAGTGGGTTTAGTCGTTAGTGTAGTCGTAGGTGTGGTCGTTGGCGTGGTCTTAGGTGTGGTAGTTGATGTGGTCGAAGGTGTGGTCGTAGGTGTGGTCGTATGTGTGGTGGTTGGTGTGGTAATTGATGTGGTCGTAGGTGTAGTAGTAGGTGTGGTCGCAGGTGTGGTCGTAGGTGTGGTAGTTGGTGTGGTTGTAGGTGTGGTCGTAGGTGTGGTAGTTGGTGTGGTCGTAGGTGTGGTAGTTGATGTGGTCGTAAGTGTGGTAGTTGACGTGGTTGTAGGTGTAGTAGTTGGTGTGGTAGTAGGTGTGGTAGTTGGTGTGGTTGTAGGTGTAGTAGTTGGCGTAGTTGTAAGTGTGGTGGTGGGTGTGGTAGTTGGTGTGGTTGTAGGTGTAGTAGTTGGCGTAGTTGTAAGTGTGGTAGTGGGTGTGGTCGTAGGTGAAGTAGAACATACAACACCAGCATCATTAGCATGTGTACAACCAGTATAAGAATACTCCACATCAACACATTCTGTTACATTATTCTCACTACCCTGACAGGTCATTGATGACAGCCAGATTGGCCCTTGTCCCACACCAAGACCACCATGTCTAACAGCAGTTCCCGAATAATATCCCAGTTGACGACACACTACATTCGCTTCTCTATCATCGAAGTATTGATCGCACACCGTGCCCCATTCGTTGGGTCCTTGAAGGAAAACCTCCACTCTTCCAAAGTTTTGTAAATTATGATCAGCAAGGCGAACCTGTGTTATTGCTGAAATAAAATAAAATGAAATGGGATTAAAAATGTCTCTATGTGAGATAAGCAGCTGAATATGCTTAAACTCCGTCAATATTGGGTTTATTGGGTGTCTGTACGTACATTGTTTAATTCAAATTAAAAAGTAAATACAAGAAGATGTTTTAAAACATCCAACACATTTTCTTTTCACTTTAAACAAAAAATCAGGGCCCTTATTCACGAAAACTTAACTAAGATAAAATCCAAATTTTAGTAATTTGATTGGATAATATTAGATTGATTTTAGTGCTTAGCCAATCAAAATTGAAGTATCTTCTAAAATTTGGATTTTATCTTTAGTTAAGATTTCGTGAATCAGGGCCCGGGTGTAAAAATACGTTTATTTGTAACAATGACACGAGAGAGAGAGAGAGAGAGAGAGAGAGAGAGATGGGTGGGGTTAAACGTCCACACGACACAAACTAGGTCATTTCGGGTCTAACACATGGTTCAATTTTATTTCACTAAATCACTTGCGTGTAGGGGTCTTTACCAGTGGGCGGAAACCGGAGAACCTGGAGAAAACCCACGAGGTTTGACAGGCGACCCTACTCCTTGTCACGTACAACCGGGTATTCGAAACCACGGCAGTTGATTCAATGACAGACCATTCGGCCATCCACACCCCCAAAACAACGCTAAAACTCTTTTGCACAAATCAAACGCTAATATCTCGGGTCAGAGTGGAGCAATTGGATTGAAATTTTCAGCATATTCTATTTACGTTATCTGTGTATTATCTAATCTCCCATAATGACCCTTTTTAACACAGATTTAAGGAGTCTAGCCATTTACGGTTGATTTCAAAATAAATAATTTACAAATAAATAGCTGAATATCCGACTCACCCAAGCTTTGATTAAAACACTGAACATTGGTTGGTGTTGTGCATCCTGTAAATCTTGTAACATTAAAACCAGCAGAGAAACATTCTGTAAAGGTTGTTTCGTATCCATAACAAATGATGTATTTATACCAAAATGGAAGATTGTCATTACCATCGATACTACAAAACATAAATGAAAAGGAATAATTTTTATTAGTGGGGGTGGGGGGGTGGGGGGTAATGACTAGTATTATTCATCTTAAACGGATTAATTAATGACTAGTATTATTTCATATTAGAAGGGTTAATGACTAGTAGTAGTTCATCTTTAAAGGGTTAATGGCTAGTATTATTTCATCTTTAAAGGGTTAATGACTAGTAGTATTTAAAGGGTTAATGACTAGTGTTATTTCATCTTTAAAGGGTTAATGACTAGTATTATTTTATCTTTAAAGGGCTAATGACTAGTATTATTTCATCTTTAAAGGGTTAATGACTAGTAGTATTTCATCTTTAAAAGATTAATGACCAGTAGTATTTAAAGGGCTTATGACTAGTATTATTTCATCTTTAAAGGATTAATGACCAGTAGTATTTAAAGGGTTAATGACTTGTAGTGTTGCATCTTTAATAGGTTAGTGACTAGTATTATTTCATATTCAAAGTGTTAGTGACTAGTAGTATTAAAGGGAGAATCACTCTATTTAAAGTTTACCTAAGTATCTGACTTCCAAGCAAAATACCATCTTGGTATCCAACTTCACGACACATCATACCGGCAACTTTATTGGAAGAACGTGTATTGTGATAAACACAGGTATCAGACCAGTTACCATCATAATTCATTTCAAATCTACCTATACCGGTTGTATCTTCTCCATACAAACGATATGTTACTCCTATTTTAATAAACAAAAATACAAAATATTAAACAAATAACATTAAAAATAACCATGGCAACGCAGTGAATTAGACTGTGGTACACTGTCCTGGCGATCCCTGGTTCGATCCAATCTGATTAAAATACAGATGGCCTCTACTACATGGCGATCTGACCGGTTGTAGTGGAAGGTCGCGTCATAGGGCATACGAGCAACGTTTGGCCTATGACGTCAGATATTTGATTAACCAATCAGCGTTGATGTTTCTAGTGGGTTACTCCCTGCCAAAACCTCATTGGCTAATCCCTCACATCATCCAGAACGCGGGTTACATAACAACTCTTCCAGATCTTAGTGTAGTACAGAGAAGTAAAACGAAATTTTGAACTATAAAAAATGAAACGAAATAGGATCTGTGTTGTAATGAGAATGGGTTCGATTATGCTGTAAGTGGTGCAAAAAACAACGTTATAGTCATTCGGATGGGACAAAAAATCGAGATCCATAGTACACGTTGGCGTGCACGTAACACAATTTGGCAGTTGGATTTCGACGAGGGTAGAAACACCAGTGTCGGGGCACAATGTGTTGGACAAGCTGTATTCCGGTCTTTATTAAACCAGGTGCCAAGTGGGATGTTGCACTCTTTTTTCAATATTTTTAAAGGATAATATTAGTGTCAGTTATTTTCACATATGTGACAGAACTGGTTAAAAACATTCCAAATATAATTTCAACATATTGAGCATTGCTACGGTAGATGCGTAACGAAGATTTGAAGAAAAGGGAAGTGACGTAAAAAAAACAGAAAACACGAGTTATCCTTATATATAAACTGACTGAAGGAGCGACGGACTTTCATTTTTTTTTCAAATCTTCTTTACGCATCTATCGTAGCAATGATCTGTGTTAAAATTATATTTGGAACGTGTTAAACCAGTTCTATCACATATGTAATACTGGCCGGCACCAATATTGTCCTTTAACACAATCCCATATGTGATAATGACCGACACCAATATTGTCCTTTATATCATATATGTGATAATGGCCGACACCAATATTGTCCTTTATTTCATATATGTGATAATGGCCGACACCAATATTGTCCTTTAATTGAGGTGTATGTATCGTCAACTGATATGTGGTGAGTGTTTGATACATCTGTTAAACATTAACATTGTATGAACAGTTTAAAGTACAATATAGACACATCATACCTGACTTATAACAGAGGAGACCAACACGTTTTGAGTATATACCACATGACGTATTGTTAATAGAACGTCCTTGATGATATACACACTGATTTAAACTACTTTCATTTCCGATACATTTCACGTCGGACAACACCACTGGATACGACGTCACATCCGATCGTACGTTATAAGGCCTATATAGCACACCTCCACCATAACCAAGCTCCACACATGCTACCCTGGCCTCCGTCTTTCCAAACCCTGCAGCACAAACCCCGCCATTCACCCCATTTAATTTCACCTCCAGAGATCCGCTGAATTCAGTCGTATCTTTATAGATAGATACTACAAAATCTGAAATGTAAAACGGAAGCAACCGAGTCAATTCTAGATTTTCTTTTATTTTATAAATATTTAAATTTTGAAAATTTAGCTTAATCCAAGAGCGCCCAAAATCTGAAACTTAAAGCGAGAACGTGCGAATTTAGTGTTGCTTTTCTTTTTTTTCTAGGTTAATGTTACCAGAATATTGCATGCTGAAATTTATGCTCCTAGAGGCGGGTATTATTAATAATAACAATAATAACGTAATAGAGCTTATTTATTCGCTTTTAATTTCATTTGATCCTAAAACAAGTGTGATTGTGAGCAGTATTTCCGGCCACAAGGACACTTTTGTAATGCTCAAAATCCCCCATCCCCTTATCATGGCGACTGGTTAGGAAAGGCGACTAGAAAATTGGGATTGTACGGAAACCAATATTTACTTTACTTAGATGATTTGTGACACAAACACGAGTCTATTTGACAATTTCTGAAATCTATCAGTTTGATTAAAACACAGATCTATATTTCGTTTCGTTATTTTTATATTTTCGATGGCAGTGAATTAGACTTTGGTACACAGTCAGGGTGATCCTGATTCGATCCAATCTGATTCAATACAGATCTATATTTCGTTTTGTGTTTTATACTTTTGATGGCCTCTACTACATGAAGATATGAAGATCTGACCGGTTGTTGTGAAATGTCGCGTCAGGGGTCATACGAGTTGTTTTTGAACCTATGACGTCGGATATTTAATTAACTAATAAGCGTTGATGTTTCTAGTGGGTTTCCCACAGTTCCGTGCACCTCACGCCAAAAACTCGCCGTAACAGACCGTTTCATTGGCCACCCCCCCCCCCATCATCCAGAACGCGGGTTATATAACAACGCTTCCAGTTCCTAGTGTAGTAAAGACAAATGAAAAGATATTTTGAACCATAAAAAACGAAACGAAATAGGATCTGTGTTTTAATCGGATTGGAAAGATATTCAAAAGATATAACATAATATTGAGATAATGTGGCAATTGCTGAAAGTTATTCAACATCGTATATATGTTGAGATACAATAAGAACTATGTAATACCTGACGATGGTTCTGTATAAGAGCACTGAACTGAAGCATAAGTTCGTGATGGACAACCGGTACCGATAATTTGATTACAATCACTCAAGGAATCGTTGACTGTACCACAATATAGACTCACTATACCAATCTGGTAGTTCAAATCCCCGTATCGTGATCCAATAACTGGTCTACCATATTGGTATCCCATCTCCTTACAGATCACAGTAGCTTCTGTAATACCGAACACCTCATCACAGACTAGCACCCATTTCTTCGTTATATTATTATAAACCTCTACTGGACCCTGATAGCTAAGATAGCTATCTGATATTCTTACTACAAGCAACAAATATAAACATGTTATATTATTATAAACCTCTACTGCACCCGGATAGCTAAGATAGTCGTCTGATATTCTTAATACAAGTAAATTGAAGACTTATCTGTTCCAACGCTATGTTTAGAAATGTGCTAGAATT